CTGCTTTGATCAACATATCGTGTATCTTTCCATGTGAATAACTTTCCCCTGTGTCACTTTTTCATGACTGCATGGGTGTAACAGAATTTCAACAGTTCCCCCGTTGTGGACTGGTTTATGAGCTGTCGTTTCTTTTCTTTTCTTTTTTCTTTTTGAAACAGTCTCACTCGGTCACCAGGCACCAGGCTGGAGTGCAGTGGTGCGACCTCGGCTCACTGCAACCTCTGCCTCCCGGGTTCAAGCAATTCTCCTGCCTCAGCCTCCCAAGTAGCTGGGACTACAGGTATGCGCCACCACGCGCAGCTAACTTTTTTGTATCTTTAGTAGATACGGGGTTCCACCATGTTGGCCAGGATGGTCTCGATCTCTTGACCTCATGATCCACCCGCCTCGGCCTCCCAAAGTGCTGAGATTACAGGCGTCAGCCTCCGCGCCAGGCCTATGAGCTGTCATTTCTAACAATGTTGTGATAAACAGGCTTGCTAATACCTTGCTCTTTGAGCACGTGGCTACGTCTGCAGGATACACTGGAAGTAGAGAAATTACTAAGTCAATAGGTGTGTGCCTTTTTCAGGCTTTTTCTGTGTGATGCCTAACTGCCTTCTGGATATGCTACACCAAATTTGCGTACCATTAGCATGAGTATTTGACATTGGTTTGACTTTTGCTAAATTTTGTTTCAACTTTTAGATTCAGGGAGTCCACGTGCAGGTTTGTTACCTGGGTATATTATGTGACACTGAGGCTTGGGGTACGAATGATCCTGTAACCCAGGTAGTGAGCATATCACCCAACAGTGAGTGTTTCAACTGTTGCTCTCCTCCCTCCCTCCCTCGCGCATCTAGTAGTCCTCACTTTCTTACTGATACCATCTTTATGTCCATCAGTACCCAATATTTATCTCCCACTTGTAAGTGAGAACATGCAGTATTTGGTTTTCTGTTCCTATATTAATTCACTTAGGATTATGGCCTCCATGACTTTGCTAAATTTACAAAAGGTGGAGAATCACACACATCCTGTTTTACTTCGTGTTTCTTTAATCACTGGTGAAGCTCAATATTTTTTATGTGTGGTATCAGCGCACAAGTTGACCTGCAGTGGTCCCTGCCCCCTGATAGCCCCGTTCTTGTGTAATCCACCCCACAGTGAATCAGGGATGGTCTCTGGGCCAACAGAACATCACAGAAGTCGTCATGTGTCTCTTACGACCCTAAGCTACAAAAGACAGTATTTGCTTCCTATAAATCACATGTTCCTTGTTGCTGAACCTGTGCTCGGTTTTGTGAAAGGTCCACAGATACCTCTGCCTCTCTCCTGGATCACTTCTGCCTCCCATCCGCTGGAGTCTTGGGAGCCTTTTACTGGAGGGAATAGATAGCTGGGGTGGGCAGCTCCATGAGAACGGAGGCCTTCTGCCAACAGCCACAGAGGAGCCGAGGGCTCCAGTCAACGTGTGTGGATGACCAACCATCCCGGGACCGTGGGGTGAGCCGGGGCACAAGCCTCTCAGCGCTAACTCCAGGGACGAGTTATAGTCATCCCACATGTGAGTGAGCCACCTGGGAAGCAGAGCCCCATCCTAGTCAAGCCTTGAGATGACTGCAGTTCCATACAACAGCATGTGTATGACCTGTAAGACCCTGGGGCAAAACCACGTGACTGAGCAGTGCCCAGATTTCTGATCATCAGACCCTGCATGAAATCATGAGTGTTTGTTGTTTTAAGCTGCTAAGTTTGGGGGTAATTTTGTTCCACACAAATAATATATTATGTTTTTAAAACATTTTATAAGGATGTAATATGTGATAACGGTATTTATCACATGACTTTACCCATTGGGAAAAGATGGGTTACTCAGTAAATGATGTAGGAACAATTGGTTTAACCTGGGGTAAAAGATAAAGGTTTTCAATCAAATCATCGTCAGATGTACTGAGGACACTTGAACAGAAAGTAACACACCTACTAGAAGAGGGGCAGGTGTGTCTTGACAGAAGCTCGCTACTGCTCAGGGTCTTTGGCCTTCAACATACACCTCCCTTGACCCATGTCCATCATGCTTCAGGTCTTGGTGGAAACAACGCCTTCTCCACAAGCCCTGCACAATCTTCTCAGCCAGGTAGAGGCTGCCTGGTGGATCTCTCATGGCTATGCCACCTGCCGCATTTTGCCACCACACCTGGCTAATTTTTGTATTTTTAGTAGAGACTGGGTTTCACCATGTTGGCCAAGCTGGTCTAGAATTCCTGACCTCAAGTGATCTGCCCGCCTCAGTCTCCCAAAGTGCTGGGATTATAGGCGTGAGCCACCACGACTGGCCCAGTTTGCATATTATAATCAATGGTGAGCGACAGTTTAATAGGTAGCATTTTCCTTCACTATTTGGTAAACAGTGGTGCATCTTACAATCAAAAGCGTCTTAGATTTGATGAAATACACTCGTGTTTAAACTAGATAATATAAAGGCCACTTTCTGTGAAAGTTTTACTCTTCTTTCTGAAGAGTGGGCCACCTCTACAGGACAGATACGTTGAAGAAGGTGGACAAGTCCAAGTCTGGCTGGGAACACATGAGCCATTCTAAATCTTCAGAATGGAAGTGGTTTAATACAGAATCAGAAGCTTATATGGCTGCTGGAAGGCGGAGGCTAAGGTGAGGAAGTTTCTAGAAAACCAGGAGTGCAAGAGTTGCAGGGAAGCTCCCCTGCCCGCAGGGGTGGTCTCAGCTGCCTGCACAAGTGAAGTAGGTGAGCTTCAAGACGATATCCAGAGGCTGCTGGCAAACCCCACATCTGCCTCCTGCTGATGCTCAAAAGCCTGTCCCATGCAGTCACCAGAAGGAAACAGCTTCTCCTCACCTTCCTCCTTCTAAAATCATGACACAGCCCCTCTTGTGGCAGAATGTTAAGAACCCACGTCTACCGGCAAGGGAGTGCGGCAAGTGTCGCGTTCAGGCTTTATGTCTCTAAGGACAGGGAGGAACCGAGAAGGGCTGGGATGGTGGCAAGTACCAACAATGTCCAGCACTTTAGAACACATCAGTGAATCTGTACGTTAATGCAGAAAAGCCTAATCTCTCTCTTCTTACATGAATATAAAAGGAAAGTTTAAGATACATGTCCCGCTCCCAATGGACTCACTTCTGCCCCCATGGAAAATGTGCAACCACCCCACCCTTGACATCAGTGCACTTGAGCCTCCGAGGCCAGCCAAAGCCAGGTGGAGGAGTGAGGCCAAAGGAGGAGCGGGGCTTGGCAAGGCCAAAACCCTGCCCTGGCTGCCCTGTTGTCCCTGAGAGATTATTTCCAGAAATGAATGTGCTTAAGTGCTTTGGTTCTATGGCAGAAGAACAGGGCACATCACTTACGGGCACTTGGTGCTGACTCATATGTACTGTCATAAGCACCCTGATGTCCTCCTTTTCATGAATGCTGGTTTATCTCTTATGTTCTAGGCAGCCCGAGGGGAGGAGCTAGGTCCCTTATTTCTTAAAGATCTCCCCTCAATGCTGATAGCAACCCTAAAGCCAGAAAGATGATCCCAGAACACTAGAGTTGCCTCAATTAGGGCAGGGGGAGTGGCCAAGCTCAACTTGAGCACGTGCTAACTATGGAGTGTGGCTCTCAAGGTTCAGTCGCATCAACCTGCTGACAAAATAGGGCAAAGAGCCAGGAGAGAAGAAGGACTGTCCACATATTGCAATGGTGGGCTCTCACTTGCATGTCCTCTCAAACCTAGAGCTTTCCCACATTGCCTGGATCAGCCTCAAGGCGCTTCGTGAGCAAGCCCCAGCATCAAGCCATAGCCCCAGAAATTTTAACCTACTTCCTTTACTCAGCCAAGTGCAAGGACAATCCCTCCTGCAGCTTGAAAAAGCAGTGCTTTTCCTCCCAATTACACTGTCACTACTCACAGTATTTACTTTTGAATATTACAGAAGGGCATGGTGTTTCTATGTCTACAGAGGGGGACCTTGGTTTAAAATCTTGGGAAATCCCACTCTAGAACATGTACTGTAAGACAATTGAACAATGAGAAATCACAGACGAAAGGCCAAAGCAAATTCTAGGTGTGCCTGGAAGGTCTTAGAGCACCAGGTGCAGAATTCTGGGGGCTACAGAGCAGAAAATGATGGAATGAGAGGCAAAGCCAGAGGAAGATCATTTCAAGTCTGGAAAATTCACAGGAAGGGTAATATGGCATAATAGTCTATGGACTAAAAGTTTACAAGCCAGATGGGAGGGGAAAAGGGGCCCCAAATCACTCAAGTCTCAGATCACTCAAATCAACACTCCCATTCTAGCCGCTGAGCATCAGCCCTGGAGCCCCGGTAAGGACCCCGTTGTCTCCAGGAAATCACAGGACACGATGCTGGGGAGCAAGAGCAGTGAGGGTTTCTGGGTTCCTCAGCTGTAGCCACAGCTCCTGGAGAAGAGGACAGGGGTAGGGTAAGAGAGGCTATGCAACTGGAACCCCAGTCCTCCAAGGGCATCCTGCCGGGACAGCTGGGCCATCTGGAGGCAGAGGGCCAACAGCAGGTGCATCCAGGAGGCAGCCTCTGGCCCCCAGTGGTAAAAGAGCAGCCGGAGTTGCCAGCCAGGCGTACGGACTCAGATGGGGTGAGATACCTCGGGGCACTGGCGTTTTCTAGCACACTCGCATCACTGATGATATCATAAGGAATAAAGGCTCTGACCACAGATACGGCTCATCGACTGAAGTTCTAACAGCCCCCCTGGGGTCTCATTGGAGACCCCTGTAAGAAATCAGCCCTTGGCTCTGAGGCATCTGTTTACAGGTAGAATCTGGGCAGGTTTTATAACTCAAGTATTTTGGAAAGCCATAAGCTTACAAGAGCAGCTGTTTCAGTTCCAACCAATTCACGCATTAATATAACGCAGTGATGATAAATAAAATCACATCTAAGACTTTAAATTAATCTTTGAGATTATTTAACTTTATTTTTTTAATATGAAAACTGAAAAACATAGTATTTATGTAAACTAAGGACTGTTCAAGTGGGTAGAGCATATTCATAGAAACAATTTGAAAGAAGACCAAGTTTAAGTAAGAATCTTATGACATTTAAGAAATAACATAGATGAAGCTATTCTGTAAATAGTTGCAGTCGTGTCTAAAGTATATTTGGTTTTCTAACAAGAAAAGTTACATTATTGCCCCTGGTGAACATTTTCTTCACATTTTTAAGTGGCTAATGGTGACAGCACCAATTCTCATAGCTTATAAACCTTATATTTGTTATACAATGTAATAAACATGTTATACATTTATAATGAAAGAATAGTGTTGAATATGTTTCACTTGAAAGTTCTAACTTACAAAATAAAGCCCCCAAACATCAGTCTGAATTAATGTATCGTTCAAAGTGTAGCAGGATAAATGGCTCAGAACTAAGCAAATTAGAAATATTCCACAGGACAGTGAACTTCCCTGTATGGAAACCAATCCACAGACTGTTTCTTGTCCTCTGAAAAGTAAGTTGAGAGATACTAGTGATGGCAAATAATCCACTTAGATTTCACAAAATAAAACATCTTACAAATATATGGCTTATCCTACCTCTGGGGGAATACAAAATGCCATTTTAAATTAAAAAAATTACTTGTGTGTATACTTCAGGTTAGAATAAAATATAAAATATTATCTATATAAAGAATAAACACATAAAATAAAGTTATATATCTTAAAAGTTTAGACAGAGGTATCTTTATAGAGAGGTGCAAACAATGAAAGTGTAGTTAAATGTCCAAACTTAGCCAAAATATGGAAGTTTTAGTAGAATATTTTTTGGATAAAAAGTAGTCAGACTATTGAAACCACCCTTGTAGTATATTTCTTGCATTAAATAACCATTCTATCTATCATATAGTTTATCTAAAAACTGTTAAGAGCACTTCATAAAAGTTTTTAAGCTTATTTTTTTCTCTAAAACTGAGTAAAACTTGTAGACAAATAATAGCAGAAAGAAAAATAACTTATATGGCTATTCTCTTTCTGGAAACTGGTAGAACACGGCAGCATCAGACAGACAAAATACTTCAGAAAGAGCTATCTATGGGTACACCTTTAAATTCTCTTCTGAGGAAAAATCCCCATAGATTTCATCATGGAAGTTGCCAACCCCTGATAATACCTCTCTTAGCTGTCTTAGTTCTCTGTATAAAGATGAACCAGAATCAAAGGGGTTTATTTTCCATTTCTTACATGAAATATTTGTAAACAATATAATAAGAGTAATTTTTTAAGACCTATAAAGAATGAATTTCCTATTGGACTATTCTAATACTATCTAGCAGTTAAATGGTTTTGAAAGTAGTGGACTGGACTATAACATAGTTCTACAATTCTGGCTATATTTTGAGAGATACTTTCTAAAAACCAAAAATGACTAAACGGCAGAAAATGATTCTACACTAAGAAGGCATTGGTATCTTTGGAAGTTGGCCCAATCTAAATTTGTACAAGAATTTTTTTTTAATTTTGATAGCATTTTCCTTGTTTAAGTCGTTCAATGTAGTAGCATAGCTTCAGGACCGTTCCCAGCTTCATACCCAAGTACTTCAGCATCAGGTCGCTCGTGAGTAGGAGCAGAGCCTTCCCATCAATTTTCTGTGGAGAGAAGAAACGTAACAATAATTAGTAATGCTTCCATATTTTCAACAGAGCAGTTAGTTCTTTATGAGAACATGTAAAGCAAACTAGAGAACAGTTCATTGCAGATGTATATTCTCTGAATATGCATCTGCTTTATGAACACTATTAACAATATAACTTGTACAGTGAAGCACCACTTGGTAATGTATGAACGCACTTCAAGTTCTAAGAAAAAGGAAATTTAACCTAATATCTTAAAAAATAAACTGTGTCAAACTTAACTTTAAATACATACTCCAGGTTGAATAAAATACTACACATCCATGACAAAATAGTAAAGACCAAGAAGAGCAAAAATGAATTTCAGATGGTCATTAAATTTCTGAGAAGGGCTGGGAAGATGAGTATGTCAGCATCAGTGCAAACTATAATGTCTATACAATGTTGTCTTTACCATGAATGTGAATTCGTTGTCTGAAGCTAATTAGATGCTAAAACTAATGACCAACTTTCTTACTATACTGAAAGTCAGCTATGTGGCTACTAATTTTATTTGTTAGGATACAGTGTGAAAATATTTCTTCATAGTCACAAAGCATCCTTTTAAAATTCCTTATCTTAACTGAGCAACTTAAGCTGCTGAAGCATATGACTTGGTTTTATATGTTCCAGTTTAAAAATAAAATCTCACTCATTTAACACTATCTGAAAAGATCTGAAATCCCTTATAGTACAACCTTATCTGAAAAGACCTGAAATCTCTTATACTACAATCTTTGTTTGGCACCTTCCATATTATTTCTACTGAGCAAAACTCAAAATTAAAGAAACCGAATCTTATAAAACTTTGGCCTAGGATATTACTTTGTAAATGATCTGGTAATAGCAAGAGGGTATTAGCATCACAAATCATCAATAATAAGGCAAATAGAATCAGTTGTTGAATCACCGGTTATATAGAAAGAAGGCTACTCTATTATAGCTTGTGCTTAAACCCTCTTCCTCGTGGTCCTGGTGCCCAGCTGGGAGCAGATGCGGGAGGATCATTGTATCTGTCCTTACAAAGGGGAGGTACACCTGAGTGGCCATGCTGAATCATCATGTCTTGAGAAGTTGAGGCAATTTGTAGTTTAGGCACTTTGATACCCATTTGAAGAACAGACTATTAGCCTACCATTTAAGGCTAACCTGGGGCAAAATAACCTTTCTGACATGGAAAAATCAGTTGATAGGGTTCACCCACTATTCACACAGTATCCAGCTGAAAGGCTTGCACAGAGGTCATTCAAAGACATTACAGCAAGAAAACAAAAGATATATTACATAGGTTCTGAAGAGATCGACAAGAGGGGATAATGTCTGAGGATCCGTTTGCTTCAGAAATAGGACCACTGCTTCCACCGACCATGTTGCAGGGTGCTTAATGAAGTTGTCCTCTAAATACATGTCATTGTCCACTGGTACGCTTGTAACTTCAATGGAGAGGAGAAAAGAAAAAAAGATAAATCACACTTGTCCTGATTATTATCCTGAAAGTACAGATGTTAGGAAGGGAGGAATGGTGTCTTGTTGAAACCTTCTGTGATGTTCCTAGCAAGGAGTCAAGACTCCAACTGTAAAATCTAGTGAAAGTCTATATAAAGATGATGTGAGGATGCCTACACAAGAGCGGCCCATCTGACCTTCCCTAGATAGCAAAGACAGGTTCAGAAGTTACCTTAAAGTTTCAAAGATCACAACACAGATGAAGCAAATCAAGTCTTCTTTGGCCACAGGCAAATATGGCAAAAGATCTGTCACTTGGGTAAAATTAGGTTAATCTAGCCAAACGTATGACTCTCTTACTTCAAGTATTTCAAGGAATTTCTCTCTTAATCTCTGTCTTGGTCTATCTAGATTAGGTTGATTTTACTAGCTAAATATAAATTAATAAATATAAAATACTAGCTAAATATAATTCCCCAAATTTACAGTTTTATAATTGCTTAAATTTGTTTAATAAATGAACCTCAATAACAACCCCATTATCTTGAAGAACCAAATCAGTCCTTTTATCAAATCTTCACCATGTATTCAATAAGGTTATTTTTAGTATCAGTTTACTCTTTAGATTCCTGTCCCTGATGGCCTAAGTGCTAATGTGCACTTTGAAGAAGACAAGATTGCTTTCTGCTAAACTAGGCCAGAAGTAACTATAACATTTTATTTAATTCCTCTTTCATGCTTAATTGCATAGTAATAGAGATTTTGGTCAAAGGTTTATATGTTAAAAAAAAGAAATAACTGAGATATGAGACAATTTAAGTGCTCATACTTCAGAAAGTTTTAGCCACGCTCTATACTAAGCTGTGTTGAAATTTCTTTGTGTACTGCTAAGTATTCTTTTACTCACCCAGAGTGTTCGATTCCCTAAAATTAGTGTGTGATGACTAAAGTGGGTTTCATAATTAGTTAGGGAAATTTGTTTCTCCAACCAAGACCAACAACACAATTTGATCTTTGTGTGGTGTGTGGTGTGTGTGGTGTGTGTGTGTGTGTGTGTGTGTGTGTGTGTGTGTGAGAATTAGCCAAAGCATATCCTTTCTTCCCTATCATCTGGGCTCTTGCCATCTCAGGAGTGTTTTTTATTTATCTAGGGAAAGAGTAAAGAAAAATAGAAGATTTAAAAACTCACAATGAGGCAGAGCTCTAGAAGTGCTACTCATCAGCTCTGTGACCTTGGGGACAGGGTAAGAAATGTGCCAACACCATGGTGTCATTATAAGTGGGGAAGAGGGGTGTCGGTTGATTGGCACAGTGCCTTGCACATAATAGACACTCAATAAATGTTAGTCATCATTCTGAATATAACCTAAAACCAGCCCTCAAAATAAGAAATGAGCAGCTTCTATTAGTTTGCATCAAGGATGTTGATAAATGCAGGTCAAATAGTGCTACTTGTAGATACAGCATTTCAACCTCACCAAAACCAGAACGGAAGCAGAGAGATGATACAATGTGCCTATTCTCCACTAAAGCTGAGTAACTCATCATCTCAGGGGCATGTACTGAACTGGGCTCTCCCTGGGCCAGCATACCTGAAAGTGGTACTGCGAAAGAGCGGTCAGGTGAGTACTTGCCTTGGCTGCTGTTAACCCTAGCGCTGCCACGGTAGGGCCGTGAAGAGCCAGGCATTGCACCATCAGATGCATAAGATGGTAGAAAACCATGCTCAGAGTGGACTGAGGGATGCACTGGACTCGGAGTACAGCTGAGGACTGGGTCCTCCTCCGGCTCAGCTCGCTGGTATTCTTCTTCCATGTGAAAGGATGGTGCTGGATTGTTGCTCTGGGAATTATCTGCCCGCACTGCCACCGGTGAAGTGGGACTATAACTTTGAGGGTAGGAGAATGTCTCGTAAGCCTGACTTTTCTTCATTTTCTGGAGTTTAAGCTTTTTAGCAAGCAGGCAAGAATAATTTGTGTATGCATATCCATATCCAAAGCCAGATGGCTTCTGAAATCACAGAAACACAGCATCAACCAACGGTGAGTAAAAAAGTAGTAAAATGAGTAGTAAATACATTAATACTTATTTTCCATGCAACTTTGCTTTACATTATTAAAAATAAATGCTCCTTTTTGAGTATATAATTGATTCTTCTTCAATTCTACATTTTAATTGTATTTTACACATGATAGTTACAAACATAAAAATACACAGTGTCTCAAGTTATCAAACCTAAACTTCGGCATTCTCCCAACCGAGAGTCAGTAGTCTCCATCTACAAGGATAGACATGCCTTGCTAATCTCACACAGTTACTGGTACTCTCTCACTTCTAGCTGATTGGCATCTTTACAAACCAAAGGTTTATCATAGTTGTAAAAATGGTTTTTAAAACACTTACGCGATTCGTCGACCCTGCTTTTGCATTGAAACGTTGGATTTTTGAAACCTTTCTGCTAATGCCATCAATCTTCTTATCCAGGTTTTGGATAGCATCATATATAACCTATTACAATACAATATAGTTATATAATAGGTATACAGTGTATAATATAATGTAGTTTCTATTTCAAAGAAAAGTAACATGAAAATACCATTAAGTCAAATGTCAACTGCTAGACACAGCAAAAGTTCTCAAGCCATCAGAAATGTCTTGCTTCTATTCAAGGCCTGGCTGTAGGTGACACAGAGCCAATAGGCTGAGTTCAGGAGCCCCAATGTCTCTTCCCCTGCTCTACCCCATGTCGGCACTGAGGAAGCTCTAATGGTGGCGAATGAATGTGCTACAGTGCCTCTACACTAGCACACTGATGATGGAGACACTGCACATCAAGGAAGGTGCTATTTTAGGAAAGAAATGCTCAAATCTGCTAAAAGAACAAAGACTCACTTTATAATGTTCATATGTAACATATATGTTCATATATCTACAAATATGAAGTCTATATTATAGACAGCAAGTGTTCCACTCCAGAAGGAACACTGAACCAAATATAACAGATGTGACTTTTGGCTTCAAAGTACTTTTAAATCATGCAGCCAGTAATTAACCTTACAAACCATGGAGTACACATGAGATTTATACGCCAGTCAAGCACATAGGAGACTGATAAAAATCTGAGAATCTTGAAATACGCAGAAACTTTGGGTAAAGAAAAATATACTTAACAAAGGGCCAGAAACATTTCCTCATTAATTCATTCATTAATTCTTTCATTTATCCAACTAAACCTTTATTGACAGCCTACCACCTGGCAGAACTACTTTGCTAGGTGTTGAGAACATGGACTGAAAAAAGGCTCCTGATCAGGTGTAATCCCAGCACTTTGGGAGGCTGAGGCAGGTGGATGGCTTCAGCTCAGGAGTTAGAGGACCAGCCTAGGCAACATGGCGAAACCTCCGTCTCTACCAAAAATACAAAAAATTAGCCAAGTGTGGCAGTGTATGCCTGTAGTCCCTGATACTAGGGAGGCTGAGGTGGGAGAATCACCTGAGCCTGGGAAGTTGAGGCTGCAGTGAGCTGTGCCTGTGCCACCCCACTCTAGCCAGGACAATGGAATGAGACCCCACCCTATTTAAAAAACAAACAAAAAGCTCCTCTCCTAGAGGAACTGCCATCTCAGCTGGGGGAGAGACAAGTAAAAAGAGAATTCCAATAGACAAAGTGATTAATAGCCTGGAACAGTGGTTTGCAAAGTGTGGTCGACAAAACGGTGGCATTAACATCACCCGCAAGCTCATCAGAAATGCCAAATTCCAGGCTGTACCCCAGACCTATGGAACCGGGAACTCTGGGAGTAGGGGCAGTGGTCTATGTTTTCACAAGCCCCCAGGTGATTCTGATGTCCCCGGTGAGAACCACTGGGCTGCGACACTGAGATACACAGTGCAGGCTCTAGGGGAACATGGTTGGGGTCAAATACTAGAGTCCAGCCATTTACTGGCTCTGTGACCCTGGGCAGGTTACTTAACCTCTCTGTGCTTCAATGTCCTCATGTAGGGAATCGGGATGAAAATCTCTCTCAGGGTTCTCTTGAGGATGAGAACCTTGCTATAGTATTAGGTTAATGCTAAGAGAAACAACACTACACTATGCCCAGTTCGACGGTGCTCAGTGTTACTAGTTACTAGTGTTATTACCAGCATCGTGACACAGGCAGGAACAGGAGGCTAAGCATGCAGAGAAGAGCGGGCCTAACCCAGGCTGGCAGTCATAGAGTACTTTTCAGAGGAGGTGAGGTCTGAGGTGAGAATTAAAACATGAGAAGGTGCTTAGCAGTGTGAGGATGCATGTAAGGGCTTACAGGGCGGAAGGAACAACAGGTTCAAAAATACCCACAGAGAAAAACAGGAAGCCAGGTGTGGAGACAGAAAGTATCAATGACGTTCCAGGAATGGGGCTGTCATGGTAAGGAGAGAGTGAGGATGACAGGAAAGGAGGGATGGGAGGCAAGAAAAGTGGCTTCTCCAAGCTGTGGGAGATCTTATAGAGGGGAAGGAGGGAATGGGACTGGAGCCAGAGGAGAGAGAGGGATGCCCGATGGGGGCAGCTCTGAGTTCGGGGAGGGGACCAGATGCAGAAAGCAGTGAGGGTGTCATCCCTGGTCACTAAAATGGTCGTGAAGGGGTCAGAAGGCTGAGCATGGGGGTAGTTGGTTGACTATGGGGACAGATATGAGGACTTGGAAGGGAGGACTGCCCCAGGTGCTCCACTGCCTCCAGGAGTGAAGAGGCAGGACTATGGGACTGAGGTAGGCAGGGGACGGCCAGCAGAGAGTGTCCTCCTCTGCTCCCAGCCTAAGCAGGAGGGAGGTGGACTCAAGAGGGAACTGGGATGAAAGAACAAGGCAGGCTGCAGCGACACCCCTGTGATCTAGAATGGATAAGTGAAGAAAGAGCCAGTCGCTTGGGAGGAATGGAGAAGGGCCCTTGGGGCCATTTCAGGCTGACCATGGCCCTGGGCACCTCCTCCAACAGATGCTATCTCCCACCTCAGCGTGCAGGCTCGCTAAAGGGGACTCTAACCTAGCAGTGCAGGGGGAGGCAGGCTGGGGAGAACCCACTCCCTCCCTCCCCAGCTAGCCTCTGCACCCACTTCCCCACAAGACTCTATGTGTCCCTTGGAAGCACTCCAGTTCTGTTCTTACCCATGATCATGATAAACATCCAAACAATTTTAGTTTCCAAAGCATGTTAGCTTATTCCATTCAAGAAATCTTATATATGGTAAGAAACGTTTTTTTTAAATAAGCCTTTATTACCTCTGGGGTACTCAACTTACAAAATTCCCAGTAATCACATCTCTACCAACATGGTGATTCTTACAACTCCCCCCAAAACTACCTTAGGTATGTTTCTTTATAAACCTTGATGGGCTGCCATTTTGTTTCCACTGAGATATCTTGATGTGCATTTAGGCACATACTAAAGTTCATCCAAATCAGTTAATTTCCTTTAAGGATTTGTAGGGGAGACTAATTCAATACCGAGCAATCCAGATGAAAGAGACTCAACTACATTTGGTTGGTAATGAGCTTTTCAAAAAGCTACAAAATCTACATGTTGCTATTTCAAAAATGTCACCAGGAAATGCGGCTCTAACCAGAAATTGTTTTTAAAAAATAATCACAACGGAATGATAATCATAAATAATTTGACAGGCAAAATTTCAATTAATTGTACGCTTTCCTTTTATGTGAGATAAGGAGAATTTTTGCTTAACATTTTAGAGAACTACATTGAAGAGACAGAACTTCCATACCTGGCAATAGGTAAGGACATCATACACTGACTTCGGTTGCTCTTCAGTATTACAGGATGCATCAGCTACAGTAATGGGTTCCTGCTAGTAGTTTTAAAGTGGTTAATGCTTTCTTTCTGTAACGTCAAACCGAACACCAGGGGCGAGGGGAACTATATTTATTTATTTAAATTGTTTTTATTTATAACCAACTTCTTAATGGTTTTCAGAAGTCTTAATCTAAAGCAGAGATTTAAGAAATTCACATTTAGATGAGAATGAAAATGATAACTGACAATTGAGGAAGGAGGCAATAAAAGAATTTATTATATCGGAAGAATCCAGGTTTAGAGTTTTGTACTGAAAGTGAGTACAAAACTACTCTTAATTTTCTACTATATAAGAAAAAGGGGAAAGTAAAATGGTTAAGTGCTCATTCTCTGATGAAAGAAAGCATTCAAATTCAGGGGAGAGATATTTTCTTGATTGTGAGTTTATGGGAACTCCATCGTATATGAGGAATTTAAATTTTTTTCTTTAAAACAGCAAGTGTTAATATATTTGGCAATTAGCAATTAACACTACTTACCTCAGTTTTTGTTTCATTTGCAAATTTATGTTTTGTTTCATATGCATGAAGAACAACAGTGTTGTCATCATCATAAGTAGATATTCTTGTTTTTAGCTGAGGAAGATTTATCAACAAATTAAAAGGAAAGATGAAAGACAGAACTAAAAGAAAAGTTGAGGGTTAATTTCACTTTCAAGAAGCTTTTACAAAGGGCTATTTGTGATAGCAAAGGAACTTTGCTCATTGTAATACTATGACTACAAAAAGATGTGTTTGCGGAACTGTGTTCTCATTAACCCAACAATACTTAAGATAACAGTTTTCACTAAGCTTAACCCTTTATATGCTTCATGGTAGCAAGACCAGTCCTTTAGCACCAGAACTACTTTAAAAGCAAGTGTTTCTAACCATGAACAAAAAAATAAATGTTATATGGTTTTTGATTTCTAAATAGTCCAACAGTGCCCCTCTGTGGACAAGACAGAAAACATCTGAGCACCTATTTTCTTCATAAATTAATCTCTAAAGTACCTTAAAACTTTTTAAAATAAGATAGGGTATAAATAAGTAAGTAGTGAATAACCGTTACACTTCAATATAATAACTCTTCATTCTAAGAATGAATTATGATGTATAGGAATAATTTTAAAATCAACATACTTGGTAGCTATGTATGCTTTTGTTTGAAAATACATGATAGAAATTACAAAAAATATGGAATTAGGTTACAGTTCAGTATTTTTAAAAATATACTATCCTACTCTTGTACAGCGCCTCATGTTTTCAAAGTGCTTTTACATAGTTATGTCAGAGAAAAATGACTCTTGGTAGGCACTTAACATTATCTTCAAAGATTTTGAAAAACAGTAGAACTGATAGTAGTTAAGAGAATTGCCTAGACTACTTAGGTAGCATTACTATCTATGTCCTTATGTAACTAAAAAAAGGTGTTTTCTGTTAAGCCAAATTAGATGCAGTTTAATAATCTATATACTGATTCAACTTGAAGGATTAAGAAATATAGAAGAATATAACAGAAATGTAAAAACAGCACAACTACTTTGAAAAACTGTTCAGCAGATTCTCACAGAGTTAAATTTACGGAACTCCATAACCTAGTAATTCAACTTCTGTTGACCCAAAAGAAATTTAAGTGTGTGTTCACAAAGAAACTTGAACACAAATTGTCACAAGAGCTTTATATATTACTGCCAAAATACATAACAAAAATTCAATTACCTATGCATTTTACTATATAAAATTAAATTTAGAATAGAAGTATAGCACAATAAAAAGAACAAAGACGCATTTTCAATTTGAATACAAACCACATCAGCTTCACTGGTGTTGCTAGACATCATTTTTGTGATACTGCTTAGTCACCTGAGAGTGGCAAACCTCTACTCCTGAAAAGCAATGCATAAGAAAGTTACTTCATATCTTACTACCTTAATAATACGGATATGCTCTCAGAATGCTAATTCAAATTGAATTGGACTTTGGGTTGAATTTTAAAAAGTGACAAAACCAGATTTCTTCCATGGCCAATTTAGAATAAATCTTTTAAAACTGAAGGGCTATATTGCCCATGACTAGAAATAAGAATCGAATCAAACACATTTACCAACTGCTTAGCAACTTAAAGCCTACAGAGTAAATGCTGGAAACAAATGAACAAGAGAACATAAGGGCCAACTGCTTTTGTAAAGGAGCTCCAAAAGGCTCTTGACTAAGGAGAACACATTGCCTCCAAAATGTAAGCCGGGCTTCTATTCTGGATTGAGACCCCACCAGTATGTGGGCTGGACAGCCCATGAGAGACACCATCTTCCCATGCACCAGGTTTTGAATACCAGCGGAGACGATCTCTAAGGTCCATTTCAGTTTTCAAGTTAGGATTGCCTTATTACATTGCATATGAAACCTAAATAAATGGCTGTGAAAGGCAAGCCAAACAATCTAGAATTAGGAAGGTTCAGTTATGGCTCTGAATCACTTAACTATGGAAATAGAAGATACTGGCTACAACCGTATCAGATTATATCTTGTACTAGAGATTTGCTTTGAAGGTCTGCATCCCAGTTACTGGGAAGGGTATGTTAATAAAAGAACTACTTCACTTTATCCTTCCTGAGCCAGAGCAGTAATGAGAGGCACAAGTAAGGGATTCAAGTTTCATCTCTTTTCCCGTTTCCCTTTCATTCTATAGTAGAGATACTAATGACCATTCTATAGTGGAGATACTAATGACCATGAGCCCAAAAGAGAGAAATCAAAAGGGGATAAAGAAGATGGGAGAACTCAAGTTAGATAAATGCACACTAATGTTGCATAGAGGTATCAAGTTGTAAAATACCTCTAATTGGAGCTCTAACTTCAATCAAATTTCACTTTTTAAACTATTTGAGTTTTTCGGGCCATAAGACTTACACAAGCTATGAGTAATTCAATTGTGGTATATTCATACAAAAGAACTACACAGCAATGAGAATACACCAACTACTGCCACACACAGGAAGGCCAAATCCCACAACCATAACCTTGAGTTTAAAAACAGCCAGACACAAAAAAGAGAATATAGTATATGACTCAACTGACATTAAACTCAAAAACAGGCAAAAGTAACCTACGGTAGAAAATCTTTCCAAATCAGTACTTTTAGATTTACTGTAGTTTCTGTAATGACTTCTTAGTGGTCTATCTCATAAATATGCCATGATTTATTAAACCAGTCCCCAATTCATAAATTCATAGATATTCAAGTTACTTCTAAAGTCTTGCTCTTACAAAGAACACTGCACAACAGTCTTGCACCTGTGGAAGTAGTTCTATGGGATAAATTCCTAGAAGTAGAAACAACGGATAGGTATCCACGTTTGAAAACTCTCCTCTACTTCTTCCCATTAAGGAGGGCTGTTGGGGTCAGCCAGATGTTCTAAACTAAACTAAGGTGGTATCCTGCCGGTCCTGCATGTAGTTTTAAAACCAAGACAGATAAATAGTACCAAATCGCTTTCTTGGCATCAGATGACTAAATCACTTTTCTCCTTTGACCTACTGATGCAACGTATTAATACATTTCTTAATGTTCTGGGGGTGAGGGGTCCAGCTGATTATAAAGAACAACATTCAATTTGTTGGTGTTTTATTTAGAAATTGTTTGCATCTCTATTTCTAAGATCTTACATTAGTGAGATGGTATATTTCTCACAATTAATGAATCAGTATTGATACATTATTAACACTTGGTATCAAAATTGCTCTGAAAAATTAGCTGGGAAGCCTTTCATCTCTTTTTATGCTCTAAAAATGTTTACATCGCACCAGAATTTTTGTGCTCTAAAGGGTTGAATTAAACAAAAAGAAACTCTCTGGGTCCAGCTTTGATAACGTTTTCTAAGTTCCTCCATGGATAATGAGCTAAGCAAATTATCCTATCTTTCCTTGAGTTGTTTTGACAAATTATTTTTATCTGGAAGGATAATCATTTCATCACAATTACAGAAATTTTAGCAAAACCGCGGTTTAAAATTACTATTTCTAATTTAATTTGTACTTTCCTTTGATCCTTTGACTAGGTATTCTATCTTGCTAAATTGCTGACAACCCTCTAGGGTAGGTTCTATTAGTATCCGCATTTTCCTTATGAGAAATCTGAAGCAAAGACCGCTTATTAGGGGTGTCCAAGGGAGAGAATACATTCATGGGTTCTTAGTTTCTGTTTCTGGTTGGTCCAGTAAACCCCCTTCCTCATCCCCCTTTTCCACTTATCACTAGAGACAGAGGCTAGAAAGCATGGCTTCAGGCTGCTGAAAGACTAAAACAAAACAAAACAGAAGGACAACAATGACAACAACAACAACAACAAAATAAGTCGGGTTGGACAAGCTTGATTTAAGTAATTTACCAAGGTCTTATAGCTAGTAAATGGTGCAGTCTACCACCACACTCTACGAGCTTTACTTCATTATTAAAATCACCTGGAATAGCTCTGCTGCCAATAACACAGGAAAATCCAAACTCCTACCATGGCTTTGCAAGGTCCTTCCACAATCAGGACCCTGCCCACCGCGCAGAGGTCACTTCTTACCACTTGCCCCTTTACTCTAAGCCAGGGGTCCCCAGCCCCTGGGGAACCGCCTGGTACCTGTCCTTGGCCAGTTAGGAACCAGACTGCACAGCAGGAGCTAACAAGCATTGCCCTCTGGGCTCCACCTCCTGTCAGATGTGTTGCAGCATTAGATTCTCACAGAAGCAGGAACCCTACTGTGAACTGCATGTGCAGGTTGCACTCTCCTTATGAAACAATTTCATTGCAAAACAATATTCCCCCCCACCCCCAGCACTCTCCCGGTCCCCCAGGAAACCGAAACGGGTCCCTCTTGCTAAAAATGTTGGGGACTGCTTGTTCTAAGCCTAAATATTTACTATGTAGCCTGTTACAGGCGAGTTTGCAGACAATGGTTGCAAGCTCTTACATCCAGAGAACAGAGAACTCCCCAGTTGGATTAATTACAATGTTGTCAAAACTTGGGGTAGACAGGGAACACTGTGTACCTGGACTCCCAACATGTTTATGTTTGTGGTACATATGCAAATCAACACCAATCTTGCACTCTGAGCTTCTTGCTCCTGTTATGCCCTCTACCCATAATACCCTGTTGTGTCTCCACCCAGGAGAACCTATTCAAGGCTTAATTCAAGTTTCACCTCCAAAAAGCAAGAGCGCTATGCCAATGATCATCCCATGTGGATGTGACATGGCTTTCCCTGAACTACAAGAACACTCACACTTTAAGACTTGTGAGGCAACTGTCACACGTATCTGGTTACATGAGAGGCAGCATCAAACGGCATTAAGACCTTAGGCTTGTGGCCAGAATACCTGGGTTTGGGTCCCACCTCCCCCACATACTAGCTGTGTAAGTAAGTTGAACAACTTACTTAAATCCTCTGTGCTTCATTTTTTTTTTTTTGTCTGTAAAATGGGAATGATAATAGCACATACCTCATGGAATTATAAGGATTAAATGAATTAATACATGTCAAGTGCTTAGAGCAATGCCTGGCAAAGATAGCAAAAGCTTTTGGGTATTGACCACATCTATCCAACAGAACTATTTAACAAGGAGCACAGACAACAAGCCTGGGTCATAACATGTAATTTTCATTCACATTGCACCTGAAATGAATTAGGTCATGTCTTTTAGGTACGAGGGCATGATGCAAGGAGCTGGGCTTTAGTTAGAAACACTTGAATCCAAGTCCAAATTGCCAAATTTGCCATTTCACTTTAGGCAAATATTTCATCTCTCTGTGCCTCAAATTTCTAACCTGTAAAGTTGGAATGATATCTACTTCACAGGGCTATTTAGGACAAAAATGACACAGTTAAACTCCCAGCATCATGCCTGGTTCATAATAGACACACCATAAATTTTAGTTCCTTTTTACTTCTTCCCATCAGATAAACAATTACAGCTTTACAACATTTTCTTAGAGCCCAACCATGACTAGAACGCGCAAAATTAATTTCATTTTTAAATCTCAAATCCCACAAAATGAGTTTACTTAAAATGAAACTCACTTATATTTATCACAGAAATCTAAACTCCCCCTCCCCTTTTTTTTTGAGACAGAGTCTTACTCTATCACCCAGGCTGGAGTACAGTGGCAAGATCTCAGCTCACTGCAACCTCTGCCTCCCAGGTTAAAGCAGCCTCCCGAGTAGCTAGCATAACAGGCATGTGCCACCACGCCCGGCTAATTTTAGTAGAGACCAGTTTCACCATGTTGGCCAGGCTGGTCTGGAACTTTTGACCTTAGGTGATCAGCCTCCCAAAGTGCTGGGATTGCAGGCGTGAGCCACTGCGCCCAGCCAACTCTTGATAACACCATAAATTTAAGTTCCTTTTCACTTTTTCCCACAAGATAAGTCACAGCTTTACAACGTTTTCTCAGAGGCCAGTCGTGACTAGATTGTGTAAAATTAATTAATTTCACTTTCAAATCTCAAATTCCACAAAAATGAGTTTACTTAAAAGAAAACTCATTTATATTTACCACAGAAACCTAAGCTGTTGATAACACCACACATTTTAGTTCCTTCTCACTTCTTCCCGCAAGATAATTTCAGCCTTACAACATTTTCAAAGAGCCCAGCCATGACTTGATTGTGCAAAATTAATTTCACGTTTAAGTCTCAAATCCCATAAAGATGAATTTACTTAAAATGAACCTCATATTTACCACAGAAATCTAAATTCTTGATAACATAACAACAAGAAGCCATTTGGTTTTCTAAGAGACTTTTTTAGACGTTAAAGACATTTTAAACACATTTTCAAAAGTCATAAATATTCGCTTCCAAGGCGCAAGGCCATCAACTCATGACATGAGGCACAGCTCACAATGAGGGACCACTCACGCGGGGACCACTTTGAGGAACACACAGCAAAACAGGGCAATTACAACAGCCAGGCCGCTCCGTTTTAAGAACAATCACTTTCTAAATCTTCCTGCGGGACTCTCAAAGGCAGCCCTTCCACTGCCGCCAAAACCGCATCCCATCGCCCAGCACTTGCTGCAGGCGGGACGAGCGAGGCTCCAAAGGGCACCCAGCCCACGCGCCGATTTAGAAAACGCCGCGCTGCAAAGCTGCTCGGAAAATCGCTCTCTGTTAGTCAACCTGAAGCCGGTCGGCCCCACTGCGGGGAGAGCCGGGGAGAGCCCGGGAGAGCCGGGGAGAGGAGGGAGCGGGGGGAGGGACGCGGTCCGACCCCAACCAAATCAGAGACTTTCCTGTCAAAGACCACGCGGCAAGGGGGCCCGGCCCTCGCGCGCCTCGACGGCTCCCCAGCTCCACAGGGACCCCGATTTCGCAGGCGCTCCCGACTCCCGCCTCTGCCCCCAACACCCTACGTCTTGTCTTTCTCTTCCTCCTCATTAACGTATTTAAAATAAAACAGCGAAGCTGCACAGTCTGTCTCTAATGGAACTCGGTTACCATCAAAACCCCAACTCTATGTCTCAACCGTGAAAAGTCCGACAGGAAATCAACTCGGGAGTTGGTCAATTCTTTAAACTCAAAGCTCTCACCCAATGCGGTGGCTCTCGCCAGTAATCCCAGTACTTTGGGAGACTGAGGCAGGAGGATTGCCTGAGCCTAGGAGTTCAGACCAGCGTGGGCAACATGACGAAATCCCATCTCAACAAAAAATACCAAAATTAGCCCTACGTGGCGGCCACGCCTATAGCCTCAGCTCTTCAGGAGGCTGAGGAGAGAGAACCGCTTGAACCCGGGAGGCGGAGGCTGTGGTGAGCCAAGATGGCGCCACTGCACTCCAGCCCCGGCAACAGAGCTAGACTCTGTCTGAAAAACAAAGCGAAACCAACAACAACCACAAAAAGTCATTCCTCGCCCCCGAATAACAACAACAACAAAAAGTCATTCCTCGCCCCCCAATAACAACAACAACAAAAAGTCATTCCTCACCCCCCAATAACAACAACCACAAAAAGTCATTCCTCGCCCCCGAATAACAACAACAACAAAAAGTCATTCCTCGCCCCCCAATAACAACAACAACAAAAAGTCATTCCTCGCCCCCCAATAACAACAACAACCACAAAAAGTCATTCCTCGCCCCCCAATAACAACAACAACAACAAAAAGTCATTCCTCGCCCCCCAATACCACCCTCACCAAAAAGAGAGCAGCTGGAAAGAATCAGCTAGTCCCAGAAAGTCAGCCCCAAGGATTTAATGAGGTGCGAAATCTCAAAACGTCGCCCGCGCAGGCGCCGCGGGAGAGGCGGCGGGCACCACCCAAAGCACCCCCTCAGAGCACCCGGCATTTGAGGCTGCACCAGGGCCGCTACGCCAGAACACTGAACAAGGCCGTGCCCCGCGGCTGCCCACCAGCGAAAAATCAACAAATTCCAGAAAAAGTGCGGCTGCATAGAGCTGCTGTAGCGCCAGGCCCCGCCGCACCGCCTGCCGGGGTTTGAGGCACACTCCTGGAGGTGCCCCACCTGGCCGACCAACCATCGCCTCGATGGTTTCCCAACCAATCGAGGCTCGGGAAAGAACCGTGGGCCCTAGGGCAACCAGGCCCAGTATCTTGACGCACTCTGGGCACAAGCCCGAGTCACCCCAACCCCGAGCCACTGAGCGCCACAGGGACGCCATGAACCTCAAGATCACCTCACGCCACGAGGACATCTTGAGCCCGGAGACCCCTGAACTCAGCGCCATCTTGGTCCACCACGCCAAATCTCCCACGGGCGCCCTGACCAATCGGCAGCAGATGGCCAATACCCAGAGGCCGCCCCCAACATGCCCCCGCCGATGAACATCCAATCCTGCCGCCCCCAACATGCCCCCGCCGATGAACATCCAATCCTGCCACCCCCAACATGCCCCCGCCGATGAACATCCAATCCTGCCGCCCCCAACATGCCCCCCGCCGATGAACATCCAATCCTGCCGCCCCCAACATGCCCCCGCCGATGAACATCCAATCCTGCCGCCCCCAACATGCCCCCGCCGATGAACATCCAATCCTGCCGCCCCCAACATGCCCCCGCCGATGAACATCCAATCCTGCCGCCCCCAACATGCCCCCGCCGATGAACATCCAATCCTGCCGCCCCCAACATGCCCCCGCCGATGAACATCCAATCCTGCCACCCCCTGAATGGTCGCCTAACCGGGCAGGGCCAAGGCTCTGACAGAACTTGAGGCCCAAGTTAGCGGGGCAGGTGAGGGGAGGTTACCTTACCTTGTTCCTCAATCTGGTCGGATATCGTGAGGTGGCGGGGTCTGGCTCTGAGGCCGGAGACCTGAGGCCTACGTCTGTGCCGCGGCTGTGTGGTAACCGTGTGGTAACTGTCTCCCCTCTCACGAGGCACACTGAGGCGCGAGCGGAAGGAGCTTGGACTACGTCTCTGCGGCTGCGCAGTAGCGCTGGGCGTGCGTGCGTGACTCGGGGGGTCAAAGGGCCTCGCTCCGCCCCCCCCCCCCGCTTTCGACCTCCTTTCTTAAAGTGTTCTTTTTACAAAAGTATACATATATATGTCTATATAGTTGTACATTATATATGTGTGTGTGAATATATGTAGATACAGATACAAATCTAGAGATACAGAGATATGAACTAGTAGCCAGCAGTGTCATTCTGCTCCTCCCAAAATGGGTATCATAAATAAAAGTCCAACATCAGAGAATTGTGTTCAGACTTTCTAGTGTTTTCCAGGTTGCTTTCTCACATCCGATGCCGGCTTTGGGAACAAAACCGAAAACAAGCCAACTTTGCAAATGTGCCCCTAATAAATACCTAGCAACCCCTGCCCCTCCTTCCTGCTCCCTCTAGTATTCTGCAGTCTCTAGTCTCATCTGTCTGTCCCTATGTACCCGATATTTAAGCTCCTACTTACAAGTGAAAAGATTCAGTATGTGGTTTTCTGTTTCTGTTAATTCACTTAGGAGAAAGGCTTCCAGCTGTATACATGCTGCTGCAAAGGACATGGTTTTGTTCTTTGATATGGCTGCATAGTATTCCATGGTGTATCTGTACCACATTTTCTTTATTCAGTCCACCGTTGATGGCCACGGCAGCGGGGGAGGGAGTCCATCTCAACAGGCACAGTGCTCACCACCTGTGGCCTGGAGCCCTGGACACAGCTCCAGTGGCCTGGCCGAGATGTGCAACGCCATGCTTCCAGGAGGCCCTGAGAGCTGCTGCTTTGCTGACCCCAGGGTCTGCAGTGGGTTTTTGGCCCTAAGTGCAGTTTTGACAAAGGAATGTGTATTAGCGTTCTCCAGAGAAACAGAACTAATGGGATGGTTGTATATATAAAGGGGAGTTTATTAAGGAGGATTGACTCACAGGATCACAAGGTAAATTCCCACAATAGACCGTCTGCAAGCTGAGGAGCAAGGAAGCCAGTCCGAGTCCCAAACCTCCAAAGTAGGGAAGCCAGCAGTGCAGCCTTCAGTCTGTGATTAAAGGTCTAAGAGTCCAAAGGCTGAAGAACTTGGAGTCCGATCTTTGAGGACTGGAAGCATCCAGCACGGGAAAACGATGTAGGCCGGAAGACTAAGCGAGGCTAGTCCTTCCACGCTCTTCCACCTGCTTTTGCTCTTCCTCCTGCTTTTGCTGGCAGCTGATCAGATGGTGCCCACCCAGATTAAGGGTGGATCTGCCTCTCCAAATCCACCGACTCAAATGTTCATCTCCTTTGGCAACATCCCCACAGACACACACAGGGACAACACTTTGCATCCTTCAACCCAATCAAGTTGACACTCAGCATTAACCATCACAGGGCACCTTCTTTGTAAGGACAGAGAAAGGCCCGGAGGAGCTGGAGAACAGCACTGAGCTCCCACCATCAGTTGTGAAAACTGGATCTCATGTGTTCATGGGCAGACACACATCTGTGTGTGTGTGTGCACGTCTGCACGTGTCAGAGAGAAAGAGAGAGATGAAGGAGGGAAGGAGGAAGGGAGGGAGGAAGATGGTTGGGGCTGAGATGGTGATGAAAAGGGAAGAGACTGAGCATGGGAGAGAGTGACAGGTTAGCACCTCCCCATTTCTGTGTTACCTACAAAGCCGCAGCCTTGGTAGGGTAAAATTTACCTGAGAACTTCAGCCTGTCTCCCAGGCTGAGTCTAGCACTCAGCCTCCTGGGGGGAGGTCCGGGGAGCAGGGTCTCAGGTGTGCCCCAGGGGTGACAGAAGATGGCAGCATCTCCAGCTGGAAGAGACCTACTAATTAGGCAAGACCTGGGCTGTCACCTCCTCTGACACTTCAGCCCATGCTGATCACCTCCAGGTGCACTACTCCAGGACCCGCCTCTCACTCACCTCGCTCCTGGTGGGGAAGCAAATTCTGACTAATTCTGGGTGGGGGACCAGCCTACACCATCCCACCCTTCCAGGACCCCAGGAGGCTGGACCCCAGCGCACTCTGCCCTCCCGCTCACCCAGTTCAACACAGTCTGCAGCTTCAAATCCAGATCGCAGAGGCCCAGGCTACAGTGACCTATCTGGATTCTGCATCTTGACGTTTCCACGCCGAGAAAGCAAACAGGAAAGGCGTCCTTCAAACACTCCAGTCAAAGCTTACCCTCAGACCATTGCAGAAAGCTCAGCTTCTCAGACCTCAGGCAAGCTTGAAAGTACTTTCCTCAACCATTTTTTAAAAATATATATTTTATTGCACTTTAGGTTCTGGGGTACATGTGCAGAACGTGCAGGAGTGTTGCGTAGGTACATACTTGACAAGGTGGTTTGCTGCCTCCATCCCCCTGTCACCTATATCTGGCATTTCTCCCCATGTTATCCCTCCCCAACCACCCTACCCCCTGCTGCTGTCCCTCACCTATTCCCCCACAACAGACACCAGTGTGTGATGCTCCCTTCCCTGTGTCCATGTGCTCTTATTGTTCAACACTCACCTATGAGTGAGAATATGTGGTGTTAGATTTTCTTTTCTTGTGTCAGTTTCATCCATGTCCCCGCAAAGGACACAAACTCATCATTTTTTATGGCCGCACAGTATTCCATGGCGTATATGTGCCACATTTTCCTTGTCCAGTCTGTCGTCGATGGGCAGCTGGGTTGGTTCCAGGTATTTGCTATTTATTGTAAACAGTGCCGCAGTGAACATATGTATGCATGTGTCTTTATAATAGAATGATTTATAATCCTTTGGATATATACCCAGTAATGGGATTGCTGGGTCAAATGGAATTTCTATTTCTAGGTTCTTGAGGAATCACCACACTGTCTTCCACAATGGTTGCACTAATTTACACTCCCACCAGCAGTGTAAAAGTGTTCCTATTTCTCCACATCCTCTCCCGCATCTGTTGTCTCCAGATTTTTTAATGATCGCCATTCTAACTGGCGTGAGGTGGTATCTCAATGTAGTTTTCATTTGCATTTCTCTAATGACCAGGGATGATGAGCACTTCTTCGTATGTTCGTCTTTAGACCTAACATGAGTCTGTTGTAGGCAGCATGTATTATAGTATAATAGACATATCATGGCTATACGATTAATGATGCTATAAGGCCCACTGTGATTTGAACTTGCTTTATGTATCTGATTTGAACTTGCTTTATGTATCTGAGCGCTCCTGTATTGGGTACGTATATATTTAGGATAGGTAGCTCTTCTTGTTGCATTGACCCTTTTACCATTATGTAATGCCCTTCTTTGTCTCTTTTGATCTTTGTTGGTTTAAAGTCTGTTTTATCAGAGACTAGGACTGCAGCTCCTGCTTTTTTTCTCTCTCTCTCTCTATTTGCTTTGTAAATCTTCCTCCATCCCTTTATTTTGAGTTTATGTGAGTCCTTGCACATGAGATGGGTTTCCTGGATACAGCACACTGATGGGTTTTGACTTTTTATCCAATTTGCTAGTCTATGTCTTTTGATTGGGGCATTAAGACCATTTACATTTAAGGTTAATATTGTTATGTGTGAATTTTATCATGCCATTTTCATGCTAGCTGGTTGTTTTCCCTGTTAGTTGATGCAGTTTCTTCATTGTGTCGATGCTCTTTACCATTTGGTACCTTTTTGGAGTGGCTGGTACTGGTTGTTCCTTTCCACATTTAGTGCTTCTTTCAGGAGCTCTTGTAAGGCAGGCCTGGTGGTGATGAAGTCTCTCAGCAGTTGCTTGTTTGTAAAGGATTTTATTTCTCCTTCACTTATGAAGCTTAATTTGGCTGGATATGAGATTCTAGGTTAAAAGTTCTTTTCTATAAGGATGTTGAATATTGGCCCCCACTCTCTTCTGGCTTGTAGGGTTTCTGCCAAGAGATCCACTGTGAGTCCAATGGGCTTCCCTTTGTGGGTAACGTGATCTTTCTCTCTGGCTGCCCTTAGCATTTTTTCCGTCATTTCAACCCTGTTGAATCTGACAATTATGTGCCTTGGGGTGGCTCTTCTTGAGGAATATCTTTGTGGTGTTCTCTGTATTTCCTGGACTTTAATGTTGGCCTGCCTTGCTAGGTTGGGGAAGTTTTCCTGGATAGTATCCTGAAGAGTGCTTTCCAGCTTGGATTCATTCTCTCTGTCATATTCAGGTACACCTATGAAATGTAGCTTTGGTCATTGCACATAATCCCATATTCCTTGGAGGCTTTGTTCATTTCTTTTTACTCTTTTTTTCTCTATTCTTGCCTTCTCACTTTATTTCATTGAGCTGATCTTCATTCTCTGATATCCTTTCTTCTGCTTGTTTGATTCGGCTATTGAAACTTGTGTATGCTTTGTGAAGCTCTCATGTTTTTTTCAGCTTCATCAATTCATTTTTATTCTTCTCTATTCTTGTTAGCATTTTGTCAAACCTTTTTTCAAGGTTCTTAGTTTCTTTGTATTGGGTTAGAACATGTTCTTTTAGCTCAGAGAAGTTTGTTATTACCCACCTTCTGAAGGCTGTTTCTGTCAATTCATCAGACTCATTCTCCATCTAGCTTTGTTCCCTTGCTGGTGAGGAGTTGTGATCTCTTGGAGGAAAAGAGGCTTTCTGGTTTTGGGTGCTTTCATCCTTTTTGCACTGGTTTCTTCCCATCTTTGTGGATTTATCTACCTGTGCTCTTCGTAGTTGGTGACTTTCAGGTGGGGTCTCTGAGTGGATGTCCTTTTAGTTGATGTTGAGGTATTTCTTTCTGTTTTTTTTAGTTTTCCTTCTAATGGGCCCCTCCGCTGTAGGACTGCTGGAAGTCCACTGCAGACTCTGCTTGCTTGGGGATCACCTGCAGTGGCTGCAGAACAGTAAGGGTTGCTTCCAATTTCTTTTTCTGTTATCTTCATCCCAGAAGGATACGTGCCAGATGTGAGCTTGAGTTTTCCTTTATGAGGTGTCTCTTTGGATATACAGGAGTCAGGGAGCTGCTTGAGGAGACAGTCTGTCCCTTATAGG